GCAGGAATTATTAATCAACCTTCAATGTATATTAACTATTTAATAGACATTTGTTTGTTTCTTATAAAAAATGATCATAGGAAAGTCCAAATTACGTCAACATCCTATCTTTTGAATTTGTTTGTCCAAATTGTGAGAAGAATGTTCATTCAAAAATATTGTTTCTAATATATAAAAAGAAAAGGGGTTAATTCTACAGATGGTCCTTGACTAGATCCCACTTTGGTTCATGACTTTTAAAACATCACAAACTTAACCCTGATTGATCAATTTGTTTCAGCTTTAGCCCTTCTCATTAGTTAGGTGTTAAAAAAAAGGATGGAATATGCACGTGGTGTTAATAGAAAATAACACACGTGCTAACAAACGCGAAATATGCAAGCAATGCTAACGGAAATTAACACACTACTAATAGAAAGTCACCCTTTTACGATCCTCCTTTTAACATCCAACTGACAAATGGGCCAACAAATTGATATATTGAGGTTAAGTTTGGAACATTTTAAAACTCAGGGACAAAAGTGAAATTAGAGTAAAATGCCAGGGGACTACCTGTGAAATTAACCCTAAAAGAGTTTATGCTAATTATAAGACTGAAAAATTTATAATAGATTGCTTTTTTGTAAGGGTGGCTTATGTATTTATGATTAGACAGAAAGGATGATAGTAGTGTTGGCCTTCTACTGATGCACGCTAACAAAGCAAGAATAATATGAACAAAATTCTTAACAAATTTACTTATTGCAGGCATTTTTGGTAAACTGTTTTTTGTAGCATCAAATATAACGAATGAACAGCTAACCACCATGCACCAAGGGACTATTTCACATTAACGGGCGTCCGTGGCCTGATCTAGTTAAAAAACAGGATAAGGTTGTCTATTAGTGCTCAGCTGATATTCGTGAAATGGTGCATTCTTGCTAAAATTGGTTGAAGATGATTCAATCCACATTGCCGTCCAAAAGGCTATACAAAGCACTTATCAGTAATGACCAAGTAGCTATTTACCTTTTATAATCAAGCTTTTGTTTCTTATTAAACAATTAAAAAACATCCCAGTCTATCATGAACCAAGCACATTGAAGTCAACTGTCACGTTCTTCAAATTGGATTCTTTAACTTCTTCAGCAAAAGATTGTTAGAACCCGAGACCATATTGAAATTTAATTCTAAAACCAATATTTCTCATCAAATCTCATCAGACAATTCTGGTCCAATCCAATGAGGCTTCAACAAATTATATGTTGATTTTTTTTTCCTAAGCACTTCCCCAGAATATCAAGGAAAATGTTCAGCTCAAGCAATTATGAGAAACAATTAGCAATGCAAAGATAAAATTATATGATACACGCGATTTACCTTATCAGCAATTATAGGGACGTGACGACCGTACGTCATAGGTACAATAGCCATCTTACCAATGTACTTGGAATATCGATCATCCTGCATGTTAATAATGAAATTCGAAACATCATGAAAAAAAAAAAACAAAAAAAATAATGCATTTCTGAAATGTCTGCCCGCCCTAAACCAAAAAATGGTAACCTAGGTTGTCTCTGTATATTTTAAGTTTCCTGTCTAAGAGAGTGAGAGCAAGTCTCTGGGTTTACGTGGTCCATCAATCACAAAAGCTAACTTACCTGAGGATTCACTGCGATGGCTACATCACCAAATAGAGTCTCTGGACGTGTTGTTGCTATTGTCAGGAAATCGCTACTGAAAACAGTTAAAGTATCAATCACTATGCATATCATTGAGACCCATGCAAATATATTGCAATATATTAAAAGCAACTGAACAAAGATTCAAAGAAATGTATCTATGCAAGTATTTTTTGTATTGCCATCTAGTCCCTCCTAAAAGAAATCTGCATTGTAGGGCATTTTTTATTTTATTTTATCAAATCACATATTATTATTATTATTATTATTATTATTATCATTATTATTATTATTATTGATAAGAAACAAGAAACTTCGTTGAACAAAAGAAATTACAAGAAGATTCAAGAGGGATGAGCAATCCATCAGGAGCAGAAAACAAAAAGAAATACAATAAAAAAAAAAATATATATATATATATGAACACAATTGAAAAACAACAAGAAGTTGACATCCAAGTTGAAAAGTTCGAGATGTATCTGTCTGGAAATCCTCTTTTTTATTATTTTAGCATACAAGAGGAAGGATTGATTTAGAGTTTCCTCAACAATCACAAGGAAGAGGCCTCCGCAGGTGTGACCTAATAGTTTGAGAACAAGGCAGTTCCACAAATTCAAAGGTAGACCTTCAATACCAATCCAACTATTTCTGGCCTCAATCCAAACATAATTCCAATGAGAATTCGTGCTCCATTGCTTCATGTTGGCTATGATAGCTCCTCTGTAAAACAGATTCTCTTCTGTCATCAGAAAATTCTTCTACTTTTCATCCCTTCACCATGAAACAGCACTGTCAGTTACCATGGGGATCAACTTGATAGCCTAGCCTAATCTACTTCTCAGTAATCCTTTGATGATGTCCCACTGCGTGTCTGATCTTTTCCTAAAAACTACAACCGCCAACTTCCAAGTTCTTAATATGTCGTTCGAGGCTGCGGGCTCTTGCTTTGAAAACAATGGGTTTGCTAGCTTTCCTCCACCTTCTTCTTTCCTCCCTTCATAGTATACTCGTTAGTCACCTCCTTTCTCTTGGTTCTGCTTTCCTTCCATAACTCTCATGTCGAATCAACTTTCAGTTGCTTCTATGGTTGAAAAAACTCTGGAGACAACCTCTAAACTTCTCCCAGCCTTGAAGCATACTCCCCTAGAATTACTATGTTCCTTATTCCTCCATTCTTTATCTTCAAGATCTTCATGAAGTTCCCCCACTTTATTCTTGTTGCGTTCCAATATTCAACCTATAATTTGACCCTCTATAGAATCTTCTAAATCCACTCTCCTTGCCCTTGATCAATGCTTCAATGACTTATGTGCACAGCCATGCCGCACATCCCAACTCCACTTGTATTGAAAAGCTTCGTACTATGTTTCTCTCAGTAATCTCAATCTCACTTTCTGGGTAATCTAATCTAAAGATGAATAGTTTATGTTCAGTTCTAAAATCCTAATCAAAGTGCTTATACCTCATTTTATTAGATATAATCATCTAATGAAAAGGACCAAAGACCTAGCCAAATGAAATTATAGAGAGGAAAGTTATCCTCAATAAAATAAAACAAAATAAGGCAAGCTAAGCTACAAAACAAGCCTAACACCAAACTATGTCAGAAACAAGGAGGCCACTACAAAACTCCTTGTCTTGGTGTCCCAAATTGCAACCCGAAACTTTACTATTGCCAGATGACGACACTTTCCCCTAACAAGGAGACTGATTTTTATTTATAAATGCATAGTCTTCCCTTTTTTTTTTTTTTTGGTTAAAAATAAAGTTTCGTTGCTAAATAAGCTTTACAGGTTTTATCTTTACAAATAACAACATGCCTTAAATGCTACAGAAAACTTTTCCTACCTGATATAAATATAAAATAAGTAATAAGAGCAGCAACAAACAACTCAATTATGAGAAGAGAACCCACAATAATATCCCAATGGGTTATTTCTAATCATCATAATTACCTGCAGGCTAAGAAGAAAGCCTAATCTTCAAAAGGAATGTCTCAAAAGAAACCACTTTTTGATATCACATTTTCATAACAGGTTAGAAATGAATTTGGTAATTACTACCTTGAGCCTCCAGCAACGCGATACTTAATATAATAAAGAGTACCCGATTCTTCATGATATTCTACTTCCTGGGCGCATGTCAAAAGGATTAATGTCAATACTTAATAGTTTAAAACTTGAAAAGTTACAAGAAACAGTCATTAGCCATTCAAAACTTAACTCACCAAATCTGAAACTGCGGTTTGTAGACTAGGAGACCAGTTCACCAAGTAAGACCCTAAACGAAGGAAAAGGAATAAAAAAACAGAAGAATTATATCTTTATAGTTTATATCTGTATAATAATGCTTACTACGAATCAGTGACATTTTCTTTTCAATGTAGGATTTAGAATAATATGGCTGACATGAATCCAAAAACTGTAGAATGCATCTCCAAAGATAAACTAAAAGTGTTGAAAACTACCAAAAGGGAAGAGGAAAACATTGACTCTAACGAATTTAAAGCTTCTTTAATCCTGTGGCAGGAAAAAAATGTTGCAGTCGTAGGAACGTTTCATCATGTATCCTCTTTTTTTTTTTTTTTGAAAAAATGTTATTTTTGAAAGACCGATGCATCACCCTTCATAGCAGCTTCCTAAATGATTGTAAGGAAGACTCTAATTCTTCCATACATCGTATATCAGTGAAAAATATGGAAGAACGCCCAACATTTTCTATCTCTTCATTTGATGCAAATATGACAAGAAACTTATACAACAAGACCATCAGTTTTCTCAACATACAACACTTTCCTGCCTTTTCTTTTTCTTGAATTGTTATTTGTACTGATGTCATATAGATAATAAAGAGTAAGAGCGTGAGGCAGAATGATTCCAGCCACTAGAACTCCACTAAGGGATCAGGCAACAGAAAAAAGTTCCTAGAGAGCCAAGGCATAAAACAGTGACCAATGGAACTTAGGTTTATACCTTGATAGATTAGACCTTTATCATGAAGCCTGACAAAGGCCTCAATTACAGCTCCTGCAAGAAGTAAAAGGGGCCGTCTCAGTGTATAAAAGCAGCACAAGGTATAAACATTTGATATAAAAACAGATTCATCATAGTTCTAAGATTTATTCTAAGGAACTATAAGTTATTTATATCCAACAACTTTGACTTCCAAAAAGGGCAGAGTAGAATTATTTATATACTCAACACCCAACAAATCATAAAACACACTCATAAAGCATGCTCTATCATCTATTATCTATTACATAGAAAATATCTTACGACTTAGCTGTTCATCAAGGGTGAAGTGCTCTCTATTCCAATCACAAGAAGCACCAAGTCTTTTGATCTGATTTATGATTGTCCCACCATACCTGATCCATATAAATGCAAATTTGTTAGGAACCTAGCGATATCGTAGAAATTGTAACGACAAAATGAAGAACTCAACCAGAAAAGTGGTCTGGTTTCTTGTATTGATTCAAGGTAAAAACCAAATTGCAGGAAGCAAATTACAAGCTGAGAAATAAAGATGGAGGAGTTCGAGGACTCCTCCCAACCTCCACATACTAAGTTCTCACACAAATTCTCGATACTTTTCCCTCTCAATCCCTCTCCTATTTATTCTACTCTCCTCCCCTAACAGACTCTCGGGAACCTCACCCACCCAAAACCTTCTCGTAACAAACTTCCCTCCAGCTAATCCAAGTCCAATCCCGGAACTACCCTTGCTCCTTCCCTCCCTGGGCCTGGCCATCCTTCTTTCTTCTCCTGGCATAAACAAACCTAAGGGGTGGATGCCTAACATTATCCCCCTCTTGAAGTGCAACCTTGTCCCCAAGGTTGAAATCAGGGAATTGCTCTGCGATTGTGGCCAGTGGTTCCCATGTAGCATCCCATGCTGGTAAGCCTGCCCATTGTACCAAAACCTCGGGCACCTGTCACCCCCAGCACTGATGGTGCGCGAATCCAAAACTGAAGCCGGTTGCACAATGAGTTCCAAGTTGCCAGTCAACTGTTCCGGTAGGGGCTGCCCCTGCTCAAGGTTATCGTTGAAAGCCTTTAGCTGGGATACATGGAATATCGGATGTATCGTGGCGGTAGCCGGCAAATTAAGGTGGTAAGCGACCTGCCCCACGCACGCGAGGACTGGAAATGGCCCATAAAACCGGGGGCTGAGCTTCTCATTGATCTTCCAGGCCAAGGATTTCATAAAGTAGGGGCGAAGTTTTAGCAACACTAAATCTCTAGGTGAGAATTGGACCTCTCGACGGTGTTTGTCGGCGAATTACTTCATGCGTTGCTGGGCTAGTAAGAGGTGATGTTTAAGGGTGTCCAACATTTGGTTGCGATGCTGCAACTGCTCTTCAACCGTATTGACTGCTATTGCTCCATCTATGAAACGGTAAAGGGCAGGGGGGTCACGCCCATACACCACCTGAAAGGGGGAGCGTTTAATAGACGCATTATACATCGTGTTGAACCAGTATTCTGCTCATGGTAGAAAGGAGAGCCACTGCCGCGGCTTGTCACAAGCAAAACAGCGGAGATATGTTTCCAAGCACCGGTTGGTCACCTTAGTCTGTCCATCGGTCTGAGGGTGATAAGCGGTGCTGGGATGCAATTTAGTCCCCTGCAATTTAAACAGTTCCCGCCAGAAGAGGCTCATGAAAACAGAGTCTCTATCGCTTACAATGGAGCGTGGGAAACCATGTCGACGCACAATGTCCCGGATGAACAGGGCAGCGACCTGTGTGGCTGAATATGGATGTGCCAGTCGACAAAAATGTGCATACTTGGAAAGTCTATCGACTACCACAAAAATGGTGTCCATACCTTTGGATTTGGGAAGACCGCCGATGAAATCCATAGATATGTCATCCCAAATCTGGTGCGGGATGGGCAGCGGCTGTAATAAAATAGCGGGCGATAAAGCTTCCGTCTTGGCGTGCTGGCAGGTGGAGCAATGGGCAACATAGTCCTTGATACGTTTCTTCATCCCCTTCCAAAAGAATACTGCTGAAATCCGCTTATAAGTGCGTAAAAACCCGGAGTGGCCGCTCATAACGGAGTCGTGAAAGCCGTGTAGGATACGGGAGACCTAAGTAGAGGTAGGCGGTATTACAACCCGGCCTCGAAAAAACAGGAGGCCCTGGCGGACGTCGTAACCGTCTTTGAGTGGTTGATTTTGGCGGGCCCTCATGATGCTATCCCTGCACTCAGAATCGGCGTGTTGTTCCTTGATGAGGTCCGCGGAATCGAACTGGCTTTGGACAGAAAAAACCGAGAAGGTGGCTTAATTTTCGGGCCCTCACCGTGATAACGCATCGGCCACTTTGTTGGAGGCGCCCTGCTTATACTGCACTTCAAAGTCATACCCTAATAATTTGACTATTAGCCGGAGGTGCCCTGGTGGCAGGACTCGCTGCTCCAGCAAATGGCGCAAACTCTGCTGGTCTGACCGAACCACGAAGTGCCTGCCCAATAGATAGTGGTGCCATTTCTGCACTGCGAGCACTATGGCGAGGAGCTCGCGTTCATACACCGAAGCCAACCGTGAGCTAGCCGACATTACCTTGCTGAAATAAGCAATTGGCCTCCCCTCCTGCATGAGCACAACCCCAACTCCTCCTCCCGACGCGTCTGTCTCGAGGACAAACGGCTTGGTGAAATCCGGCATGGCAAGCACTGGTAATTCTGTCAATGCTTTCTTCAGTTGGCGGAAAGCCACTTCGGCAAGGTCCGACCACTGAAACGTCCCCTTTTTAAGTAGCTCTGTAAGTGGCCGAGCTATGGAGCCGTACCCCTGCACGAATCTCCTGTAGTATCCAGTGATGCCTAGGAACCCACAAAGTTTGCGGATGTTCTGCGGGGACGGCCATAAGAGCATTGCCTCGACTTTGGTGGGGTCAGCGGAAACCCCCCCTGCAAAAATCACGTGGCCCAGATATTCAATCTGTTCCCTACCAAAAGTACATTTCCTGTAATTGGCTACGAGTTTCTTCTGTTGCAAGACAGCCAGCACTTGTCGCAAATGCTCGTAATGGGCCTCCCATGTAAGGCTGTACACAAGAATGTCATCAAAAAAAACCAAAACGAATTTACAAAGGTAAGGGCGAAATACCGCATTCATCAAGGACTGGAACGTGGCAGGGGCGTTGGTCAAGCCGAAAGGCATGACAAGGAATTCGTAGTGCCCCTCGTGAGTTCGGAATGCGGTTTTCTCGACATCACTCTCCCGAACTCTGATTTGGTGGTAACCCGCAGTCAGGTCTAGCTTGGAAAACACTGTGACTCCATGCAGCTCGTCCAATAGTTCGTCGATGACGGGAATCAGAAATTTGTCGGGTACCGTCAACTGATTCAACGCCCGGTAGTCAACGCAGAATCGCCAACTTCCGTCCTTCTTCTTAACGAGCAGAACGGGACTGGAATACGGGCTGCAGCTCGGCCTGATAATGCCCGACATCAACATGTCCGAGACCTGCCTTTCTATTTCAGTTTTCTATATGTGAGGGTACCTATATGGCCGGATGTTTGGGGGAGAAGCATACCTTGCAAGATGATCCTGTGCTCCCTGGTCCGTTGTGGGGGCAGTCCTTTAGGTGTGTCAAAAACCCCACTGAATTCGTGGATGAGGTTCTCGCATTCCGCGGTCAACGACGGTGTTGCCGGTTCTGGTGTTCCAGCCTCCACTGAGCAGAGTTCCAGCAGTACTCCCAGTTCTCCAGGGCTCCACGAGCGAGTCAAGGAATGGAAGCTCACCGGGGAGCAGCTTAAGGACGAGTCCCCAGTCCAACTGACCCACTTTCCATCCCTCTGAAACTTCATCGTGAACTTTGCCCAGTCTGCCCGTACCTCACCCAGCGTTTTGAGCCATGTCACCCCCAACACCAAGTCCGCGCTTCCTAATTCAAACAGGAAAAAATCCTCGTCGACCCACTGGCCTTGGACGAGTACTCGCACCCCTCGGCAGATCCCATTCTGCTGGAAACTCATCCCATTCCCAACCTGGATTTTGTGCCGGATTGTTAAATCGGTGGGAATAGCAAGTTCCTGGACTAGATGGGCCGAGATGAAACTGTGAGATGCCCCGCTGTCCACCAACACGATGACCTCCCGCTCGCCGATTGCACCCTGTAGTTTCATAGTTTTTGCCGTCGCGAACCCCCTGATCGAGTTTAAGGACAGGGCTGCCGTTTCCTCTACGGCCTCATCCTCCTCTTCCATCGTCGTCTCCCCTTCCTCTCGGCAACCCTCCTCCCGTCCCGGCTCTTCTTCCGCGGCGAGTAGCACCTGTAACTGTTGGAGCTTGCAGCGATGCCCAGGGCTAAACTTTTCATCGCACCTGAAACACAAGCCGCGTGCACGCTTCTGCTGACCCTCCTCGAACGATAGCCGCTGGAAAGCTGGGCCACCACCGGTCGTCGGATTTGCCGTCCCCGTCGGAGGATCTCAGCCTCTCGGCGCTAGGTTGGTCTCGCATGACGTTTGGGATTGAAGTGAGCTCTCAGTGGAATCAGAATAATTATGGTAAGTGTTATAACCCGGCTTCCCTCCAAAATCCAACCGGGTCCCCCGAACCGCCCGGGCCCTCCGGATCCTGTCCACCGCTTCCAGCCTGTCCTCCACCTGTTGGGCCAAGTCCATAACATCTAGCAAATGGCTGGGTCGGTGCATCTTCACTTCCGCCCTAATATCATCCCTTAACCCATTCAAGAAGGCACTCCGGAACACCTTTTTTGGAATTCCCTGCACGGTCGCCGCCAACGTCTCAAATTGCTCCCGGTACTCTGTCACACGTCCTCCTTGCCGGAGCGCCATAAGTCTCTCCGTCGGGTCTCTTTCGCGCGTCCCGCTAAACCGGTGGAGGATGGCCTCCCGCAAGTCCCGCCAATCCACGAACGGCTCCTGAGCGTCGAGCCACTGGTACCACCCCAGGGCCTTTCCCTCCATGCAAACCGACGCTGCCAGCACCCTGTCGTCCTCATCGACGTCGTTGATGGTGAAGTAGCGTTCGGCCCTGAACAACCACCCATGAGGGTCTTCACCGTGAAACAGCGGTAATTCTAACTTCTTTCCCCTGTGTTCTCTCCGTGCTCGTGGTCTTGGTGGTGATCGATAACGAGGGGGTCCACCCCCCCCCCCCCCCCCCCCCTGGCCGGTTCCCTCCATGGAGGGCTGACCCTACCCCGGACTGGTCAGTCCGGTCCCCTCCCTGGGGGGGAGTGTCCGTCCCGGGCTCTCCTCAGGGGGGAGGGATCTTCCTCAGGCCAGTGCGGTGGTGGCGGTGGAGCACGTGCCTACCTCATCAAGAACTCCCCCAGCCTCGTGATCGTTCCCTGGATTCCTTCGATCTTGGCTCCCATCGAGGCCATATTTCCCTGCATCTCCCCCATTTGCGTTCCCAGTGATTCAACCTCCCCTTGCAAATTGGGCATCATCTCCATGCTGTCTCCGATCTCCTACAGGGTGTCCTGAAAACTGTTCAACCTCCTCTCCACGGAGGCTACTCGGTCCGCCTGGTTCGCCATGGATCGTAGGGCTCTGATACCAAATTGTTAGGAACCTAGTGATATCGTAGAAATTGTAACGACAAAATGAAGAACTCAACCAGAAAAGTGGTCTGGTTTCTTGTATTGATTCAAGGTAAAAACCAAATTGCAGGAAGCAAATTACAAGCTGAGAAATAAGATGGAGGAGAGTTCGAGGACTCCTCCCAACCTCCACAGACTAAGTTCTCACACAAATTCTCGATACTTTTCCCTCTCAATCCCTCTCCTATTTATTCTACTCTCCTCCCCTAACAGACTCTCGGGAACCTCACCCACCCAAAACCTTCTCGTAACAAACTTCCCTCCAGCTAATCCAAGTCCAATCCCAGTACTACCCTTGCTCCTTCCCTCCTGGGCCTGGCCATCCTTCTTTCTTCTCCTGGCATAAACAAACCTAAGGGGTGGGATGCCTAACAAAATTACAATTTTTTTTTAACAATAAACAATAACAGTAACAGTATCAATTTACCACACAAAAATTACCATCCCGCAAGATCTATTTGATAACCCCCAAAAACTGCTCAACAATAGTTTTTTTTATATAAATATTCAGAAACTATTTGCGATTATTTTGCTTGCAGGGGAACGCTAACAAAGGTTACACAAACTTCCAAAGAGACGTTCAATCAGATATATTTCTAGTAAGGTACACACCATTTGTGCAACATGAAGAAGAAGAAGGAAACCTTTCAAGTAAAGGAGACAAGCAATGCATAAAGGAGAACCAAGATAGCCATAAGGAAAAAGAAAGATATGAATAATTACTTTTCTTTCCACTCCCAGACTCTTTTTGTGAACTCATCTCTACTCAATTCAACCCTTTTTATCCCTTCGGATATATATATATATTAAAATTAAAATAATAAAAACAATAATACTAACAATGTAACAACAATCACCATAATAATGATACTGATGATAACAACAACACTAATAACAAGAAGAATATTAATAACAATAAAAGTAAAAGGCATCATATTATAAGTTATGAAATACAAATGTATATAACGTGTTCAAAATATTAAAATCAAATTGATCAAACGTACATCGACATCACAAAACTATCATGAGAAAAGTATCAACTTATTTCTACTCATGCCATTAAAATTAAAATAAATGCAGAAGCTTTTACATATTTTATAAAATAAGATACAAATCCCTTTTTATTAAAACGAACAAACAAGTCTTGACTTGATGAAGTGTTTTGCCGAAAATAACATAAGAATTTTTTTTTAAAAGCCAAATCATCTAGTGTCAACAAAGATATAAAATCAGTAGGCACCTGAGTTGCAATACCAGCATGGTCTGTCCCTGGAATCCATAGTGTGGGTCTTCCCTTCATACGATGATATCTAACCATAATATCCTGGAAAATGAATAATAACAAACATGAGGAGTGTATATCGCATATAATATATGAATCAACTCTTTGTTTTCAGATGATTTTTATGAACTAACGACAGACCATAACTAACTCGACATTTCACTATGGGTCAGGATATCTGACAAATATACTGACAAAAAGTCAAAAAGCACAAAAAGGAAACAAGGATGAAAATCCACAACCACGTAAAGAGAAAGAAATTGACATGAAAATTACAAACAGCCTTCCTAGATTAGAAAAAACAAAAAGATGATTTACAACCATTACTAATTTTGCCAAGAAAATACTATGATAATAACAAAAGACCAATACCTTTATTCGCTTAAACTTTTTGCCTACACTATAGAAAGAATATATATAATGTTTTCTCCTCCGCAAAAATGCACGTATTTACAATCTATTGCCCCAACATGAGCACTAATAGGCAGGTTTCTTTATCCGACCAGTGACCGGCAGTAGTTGTACAATGTATTCGTGCCGAATTACTTTCTTCTCCCATTGAAACAAAAGAAGTCAACTAGATCCACAACATCTTTGCAGGTAACATAAATTAACCATCATTTCCAGCAAGTAACCCTTAGTTACACAAGATCTTATGTATTAGAACAATAACTAAATAATGAAGATTATTTTCCCAACCTCAAGTGTCACAAACATTGCGTGGCCCATATGCAGTGAACCGGTAACGTTTGGGGGTGGCATTGAAATAACAAATGTTTCGCTTCCACGATCAAAGTTTGGTCGAAAATAACCTTGAGACTCCCACCTGATACGAACAATGTGAAAGAATTTGACACCATGAAATAACAAAATGTGCAGATGTGACAAAAGTACACTGAGAACACATGCATGATGTGATTTGATGACCAGCATCCGTGTTTTTGTTTGTCGTAATTACAAAATGGATAGAGAAACAATATCCCTACTACATCTATTGAAGTCTAATATTGCCACCATATTTATATCAAGCAATAAACATACTATATAGACAAAAATTCTCAGATTTAGAAGTGAAAGATCTAATAATCAGCAATTGACAGGTTCATCTTAACGATTTTTACAGCAGTCTTAGATTTACATTATGCACGTAGATTTTTTTTCTTTTTTTTTTAGGAACCTAAGATGTTCAAATTTTTAGCTTTACTCTATCTTTTGGTAGTACCATATGCTATAGATAGACTATTTTATATCCTCCAGCCCCATAGAAACTGTTTCTGGTATCGAATCCGCTATTTAGAGCTTATTTTGTATGTAGTTTAGGTTGGTGTATTAATGTAGTATTAGGTTGTATCTTTGTGGCAATCGGTATGAAAATAAAAATGCTATAAAAAATGATAATGCGATGAATCATGGATCCATTCATACTTTAATTTTTCAAGGGCTCAAGGCATAAAGTCGAAGTTTGCATCCAGTATACTGTTTCTGGTACTGAACCCTCTATCTAGTATTTATCTTGTATGTACTTTAACTTTTATTCAAGACTTCAACATTCTGACCGAGAACGAAGTTTGACTTTAGTAACTTTCTGAACTGTTTTCTTGGTATTCATTGTACATCAGGCTTAGGAATAGGATCATCATCATCTGTCAAACCAGCTCATGAATGAAAAAAACAATATCAACCTTCTTATTAGTAACATAGAAGGCGTTAACATCATACTCAACCACATGAGAGCCCCAAATATATCTACCAATAAATTAACTGCATTAATAATATGATCTACCACTAAATTAACTCTATTTATATCCTTTACCTCTAAATTAGCTCTATCAACATTATTTTAGTTTTTCTTAATAGACCATTATCTGAAAAAAGTATACATGTATTAGAAGCCAAATGCTCCACTACTGAACTGAAATTGCAGATACCCTAAATTTCTGGATCATTAAACTCATACTTTACTCTCAGATGTTTGACCAAAGATTTTTTTTTTTTTTAGTTATCGCATTGGGTGCCATGCATGCATGCATGAAAGATTGACCTTATAATTGAGTGCTTTGATGATAAAGAAGAATATCACATAAGTCTCGTACACATCTCATTCATTAGTTTTACTTAAAAAAATGTTTGGTTAAGCGATACTCCTAATTGAACCATATCACACATCAATTTATAATTCGAAAAAGTTTGGTTTGTAAATATATAAGTCCTATACACACACACACACACACATTGATCATGACGGAGTATAATATATAGTTCAAATTCGAAGAATACAGATTTGAAGTGTCCCACTCTCATAAAGAAATCATATAATATAATTAATTCTCTCAATTAAGTTTTACTAGGGTGGTGACCACCAAAGTCATCATTTCAGATCTAGATGTTGTATTTAATTATGGCATTAAGTTAGGCAGAAAGTTAATTGCTTCTTTACTATTTTACAACTTTTTTTGAACAATTTTTAAACTTACCGAGCTACCAGGGAACAAATAGGGAGAAAAGGTGGAAGTTTGCCATGCTATAAAAGGTATCAAATCAAATGAAAAAAAAAAAAGTATTTAATCACCATCATCAAGTTCGCACAGAAACTTCATAGAAATTTGTGGTGAAGGCTAGCTAGCTACTAGGAACTACGCATTCAATATCTCTCAACCAAGTCAAAAAGTTCAGTCATGTGGTTGATTATGAATGATATATATATATATAGACACACACACATATAAATATATGTATATATTATAATATAGTACTTGGACGGAAACTAATCATCAATTAAGTAGAGGACTAAATGATGATCACTCTACATTAAAAATCTGGAATATAAATACATACACCCACATATATAGGGAGATTAAATTTAATTAATAGACTTGATGCTAGCTGCCCTCTGATCTCTTTAAAATAAAAAGAGAAAAAGAAAAAGAAAAAAGGAGAGGAGATTATGAGCCCTCATAAATTGTTAAACCGAGCTTCTATTTGATCAATTTATAGGCATACTCCCTTATAAATTTCTAATACATTACTTTAATTTAAAAAAAAAAATAGATGGAGAAACAATGGCTAGCAAAATAAGAAAAATGAAAAGAGACCGTATGGGAAAAGCCAACGTCATAACTTACTCAGCCCACTTCAAACATGAAGACCATAGTCATTTTTCTTTCTAGTACTGGGAATCAAAGCTTTGTGCAAATTTGTCAATTTATCCAAAGAAATATCATGAAACCACTAGTTCTATTTCTTTTTGAACCCTTGCAAAGTTACCAAGTTTCAGACGACAATACTAAGCAAAACAAAACTTCCAAAGATTAAGGGTGCGTTTAGTAGTGCTTCTTGGAGCCCAAAATCACTTCTCTAACGATTAGAAGCTGATAATGGTATTTGGTTTAAACCATAAAAAGTGATTTTTAAAGAATTTTTGAAAAATCTACTGCCAAAAATAGAAGCAGCCCAAAGGCAATTTTAGCTTTTAGATTGTGTGGGAATCAGAATAATACAATTAATGATTATCAACAAAGTTATATTAAATAATTACTTATTTATTATTAATTATATTATATATTAATTAATAATTAATAAATAGATATACTTAATAACGAATAAATAGATAATAATTACTTAATTATTAATTAAATATTGATTTATTACAATTAAGTTTTTAATTTTGTTAATAAAATAATAAATAATATAGTAATTATTTATTTAGTTAATGATTAATTGTCAAAAATTAATTATATAACATATTAACAATAAAACAAGTAATAACAGGTTATTAAATAAATAATTAATAATTAATATATCAATCATATATTATGTTAATTATAATCTATTAATTAGTAAATAGTTGGTAAATAAAAAAAATAGTAATTACTCAATTAATAATTAATATTAAATTATAATTATCAATATGTAATATACTTTCAATAATAATTAATAACTCATAATTAGTAATTAACCATTATAAAATGAATAATTACCAAAAGTTAAACATGTAATATATCAAATAATAAATTATTAAATAAACATTAGTACTTAACTAACTAATTACTTAATTATATAACTAAAAGTTAATAATTTAAGTAGTAAAAGGAATATTAATAAATTATGTATATACTAATTATTTTTCTTAATACACTAATTAATTACTTATAATCTAATAAATATGAGTACATTACTAACATAATAATTATTATAATTAATTACTAATTACTATTTTTAATTATTTAGTATATTAATTTATTATATATATAGTTTAATTGCTAATTTACTCATTAATAATAATTTATTCATTATTATTATATTATTAATATATTAATTTTTATTTGCTAAATAATTATCAATTATTAATTACTTTATACATTAATTTAATTTATTTAATTTTATTAATTACGGTCATATAAATTATCTACAGTAATTAAATCTCATAATTTATCAAACGCTATTACATTGCTTTCAGAACTAGCAACACTTGTATAATTATAATTTACCAAACACTCAACTACTTTTTGTAACAGCTAATTTTTTCTTCACTACCGCTAAAAGCAATTTTTTTTAAATCTACACCAGTACCAAACGGGCCCTAAAACACCTTCAGACGAACTCGTAAAAAATCCAACAAGAAAGGGAGTAGCCATCATTTATATACAAAACTTCTACGAAAAAGAGTTAATCAATCCTCATATCAACTCTCACATTGAATAGCCTAGCATAAATTCTCCTTAGTTCTCTGTTTTAATATGAAACAAAAAGAAGCGGAATTGGAAATCAACAAAATCGTTTAACTGAGTCGTCCATTTACCTAAATTAACAAAATGGTGGACAAAACTTTGCCACACAACACAAATTATGAAGAATATTATTAGAATTCGAAGGGCTAATAGTAACAGAAAGGAAGGGAGAAAAGTACCAATTGTAAATCCGTTCCTCTTGAGTAAAATCGAAGGATTTCGCAATCTCGGGAGAAGTAAAAACGCCATTGGCAGCGGCAGAAGAAGCGGCAACTGAAATGAAGCAAGAAATGGAGGTGAGTGCGTGAATTTGAAGAAGTTTTCTATTGGGAATTTCGTTCCTCGAAAATCAGAAAAAAAAAATCAATTTTGATGTTTGGGTGGTAAAAAGAAAATGAAAAGGGAAATGAAATACCATTGAAGAAGAGGCGAGAGGTAAGACGACGTCGCGTCTTGGAGAAGAAGAGAGGGTTGAGTCTGAATCTGTAAGAAGACAAAAGGGATGATGGAGCAGACATGGCCGTCGACGGGATAACCATCGTCGACTGGAGCAGACAAAGTTCAATTTTGGTGTTTCTCTCTTTTTGTTTTGCTTCGTTTCGGATAAAACCCCTGGGCTTAGCCAAGAAAGAAGAAGAAAAGAAGAAGGGGGTTTTGTTTTAGTGCAGATGTTTTTCAATCTGTCGGCGCCAAACGAGACACGTTCCACAAACAAAAAGACTAAATTAGCCTTGGTTTGAAATTCGAAAACACAAATTACCCAAAAGAAAAAACCATGCTCTTACCATTTGTAACCAACAAAGGCCTAGAGTTGTCAAACGTGTCGTGCCGGGCCGGCACGGCACGTCCAACCCTAGGCCCGTGACGGACCTGGGTCTTGCCAGGGCCGGACCTGAAGAGAAATTCTCAGATCTGGAATTGGCCGACCAGGGTCGGGCCTGGGCCCAGGCCCTTCACGGGCCGACCCTAGCCTTTGTAATTTTTTTTACAAAATTTAATTAAAAATATATATATATCATATATTCTCAAAAGATGTGATTTTATTAAATTATGATAATACGAATAATTACACATAAATGATTGTCTGACTGCCTCGTTAAAAGCCTTGCCAAGTAAAACTCGTGGGGAGATCGGGACAAAACCTTAGCGAAGGAAAAAAGAGTGTAGTATTCTAGGATAAGTAAATTACAAAACCTAAGTGCTTTAGAAGATTCTGTTATTTCTAAGTTAGAAAAATATTCTTACATTGAATCATCTGTATATTGTTGTTTTCGTCTTCTGGCATCTTCCCAGTCTTTAACGCACATTAGCCCCTCTAAGATATCTGGATGCATTCTGTTTCTCTTCTCGTCAAGAATTTGGTTGCTTGCACTAAATACTTGTTTTGATGCTACAGTTGACACTGGAGTTGTCAGAATGTCACGAACTATTAGGACAGTGTTGGAAAACGATCGGTCTTGCTCTTCCGCCACTGTCAGATGTCCAGTTTGTCGTCATCGATTACAAAATTTACTTCAAAATATTTTACCAATTCGGTAGACGATTGTGTTGATGACGATCCTGCCATTTTCTCTTTCTTCTTCAAGAAACTCTACGACGAGCCTTTAGGCCCCGAACTGCTAGTTAACGTCGAAGTTCCCTATTCTTTTTTACCTGTGTTGTATTTTGCTTCATACAAACCAAATAACTTTTCTAACATTTTCCTAGCGTCAGTAATAGTTAGTAGTATATCAATACCTAAATTTACTGCTATAGCAGTCATCAAATATTCAGTCTCATCTACTCCGCACCTAGGATCTAAAATAGTTGCTAATACAGATAACATAGGACGACCTGACCAATAACTTTTAAATTTAGTTTCCATTAGCTTAACTATGTTTTCAAAAAGTTCCATATCCCTATAATAAGAAAATACTTCTGAAATATTAAATAGTCGATGAAAAGCTAAATGTGCAGTAGAATAATAAACTTTAGAAAGTAATTCAGTAGTATTGTAGAAAACTTCTAAAAATATTAAAAAAATACTCACCGATCTGCCAATCTGTATCGAAAATTAAAAGTTGATCGTTCTTACTGTTTACATATATTGTGATGAGCTGTTGATACAGGAGTGCAGCCTTCAACATTAAATAGGTGGAATTCCACCTATGTCTCACGTCAGTTGGGAACCTTTTTGGGCGCATCTAACTGTTCCTGCAATATTGTTTAAATTCTTAGAGCCGAGCTCCAAAACTAGATATGAAGGATAAAGATTCTCTAATATTTGTTAGATTAGCTGAAATATGTTCAATTCCTGTCTGAACTACTAAATTGATTATGTGACACGCACACCGTTGATGAAAAATTTCCCCCCAAATGCTGGTTTCAAACTACGTTTAAACATGTTAAGTGTAGCCGTGTTAGCTCGCGTGTTATCAAAATTAATAGTTAAAACTTTATCTTTTATCCCATAAAACTCAAAAATTTCCATTATTGTTCCAAAAATAGCATTTGCGTTATGAGGATATAGACATAAACGAAAACTTATTATTCCCTTTTATAAAACTCATTCATCATCAGCATAATGCGCCATGACGCATAAATATTCAGTTTTATTGAACCTCTCCCATAGATCAGAAGTACAAGATACAGTAGCATTAAAAGACCCAAAATTATCAACTAGAGATTGTCTCATTGCATAAAATACTTTCATGCAATCAGAACAAGTTGTGTTTCTACTTACCCGTTTAAATTACGGGCAGAAGGTCATCTGTATGAATTCTTCCAACGATGCATCATCTGCAAAAGAAAAAGGTAATTCGACACTAGCTAGAAATTTAGATCTCGTTTAGTTCGCTGATTCGAGTTTTTAATTCAAGTTGAGATGTGATTTTATGTGAGAGCTTTTTACTGTAGCAAAAAAGTTAGATGTAACTGTTTCTAAGAGCTTTTTACTGTAGGAAAACTCAAATTCTAAACTTGACTCGGTGAAATGAATAGGGCCTTAGCTAGTACCTCACGAGCACGTTGTGCATCGTATGTAAAATTTTGTAACCCTTGTGATGTGAGTGATAGTGTTTGTTGGCGGGAGTCCAGACTCCCACCTTAGTGCAACGATAGACATGCTTTCCAATGTCCATCCAAATGACCAGACCTCCACTATTTTTATTAGAAAAGTATTTTTTACAATACTTACATACCGCACGAATTTTTATTTCACTTGTTTTTAGATTTGGTCGGGGCTCCTCTGTGAAATGCTGTCATGCAGGAGAAGTTCGCGGTCTTTTTCCCCTGTTGCGTTCTCCAACTTCCTCGTTGTGCACTAAAGCATTATCAACCGGAATATTTTCCGGTTATGTGGGGATGGAGTTGGGAGGCATCATTTCATCCTCGAAAAATGGCTCATCACCAAGCTCAGGGAGAGCAGTGAAATCAGGAAAGTTTGATGCAGTCAGATTGATATTCAAATATTTCTTCTTAGAACGTATTGATTTGACCCCATAAGTGGGACCGCCACCCCATAGCATGTTGCCGCCAGAAGCAGAACCCCGTATTTCTTCTAGAGAATCTCCTAATTGTTCTCGAGCAACTAGAAAGAGATTCTTTAACCAGAAAGAATTCAGTTCAGAGGAAGATTCTTGCTACTCCCATGTGCTGCTACCTAAGAGAAGATAGCGACTATCAGCTTACTACTGGAGCGTAATAGTAGAATCGCTAGCCTGCTTCACCCCTCTCGCTAACTTACTACCTCCGGCAGAAAAAAAGGGCTACGTGCCAAATCCGGCACTGTTACGGCTGGGCGGGGCCGTCCATATTTGACAACTCTACAAAGACCCAATTCTCGCTAGATAATCGGCTCAAATTTGTTTCTCGCGGGACTTTTCACTCCAAAACCTAAAAAGGAAATTATCTGCACCCACCAAATTTATGAATACCCTATTAAATTATAATATTTAATATAATAATTTTATCCTTCATTAAAATTACAATAAAATCTTATTAGGGATACACCAACAGTTTTTTGTGTGGGTGAATACACCCACATTAAATATATGTTTTTAATGAAATTTCATCTCTTTCCTTAAACAAATCTTTTTTTTCTTTGCTAGTAAAACTGTAAAGAAATAGTATTGTTCAAATAAAAATACACCCAACGTTAAAGGTGTGTTTGGTTGGGTGGAAAGGAATGGAATAAAATTCTAGTTTGATATTTGGTTGGCTTTAAAAGAAATGAATAATCATTCAAAAGGAATAGCCATTCACCCATTTTGGGTGAATCATCATTCCTTCCTCATATGGGAGGAATGGCCATTCTAAATTATTTTTTTATTTTTTTCCATAATTACCCTTCAATATTATAATATAATTAAAATAATATAATATAGTTGTAATTTTTAATTATATTATAATTAAAATATTATTATTTCTTATGTAATATTATAATATGTTTTATAATATTGTAATTATATTAATTATATTAATTATTTTAATAATATTATTATATTTTATATCATAATTATAAAATATATTATATAATAATAGTATTTATATTATATTAAATATAATAATAATATATTATATTGTAATTATATATATTATATTATAGTATAATATAATATAGTTGTAATTTTTAATTATATTATAATTGAATTATTATTGTTTATTATATAATCTTATAATATATTTTATAATATTATAATTATATTAATAATTTTAATAATATTATTATATTATATATCATAATTATATAATATATTATATAATAATAATTTTATTATATTATATTACATTTTATATATTATATTGATAGATAAAATATTAGTATTATGTATAACATAAGGGTAAGTTTGTCAACATGAAAATATTAATGTTTTATTCCAGAGAATTCTTAAAATTACAACCAAACAAATAATTCAACTTTCTTTTTCATTTCATTCACATTACCATTCTTATTCACATTCTCATTATCATTCTCCCACTGTAACTAAATGCAACCTAAATTCTTAATTCTTATGAACCCTAAAATTATTTTCATAAAATTCTATCCCAAAAAATAGTTGAAACACCAATTGAGATCTAGAAAGAAAAAATGTCTCTCATAAATTTCCCACTTGATAAGTAAACATGCCATTAGGTTGTGTATGGAGGAGGTTGAGATCATCTATCGGCTTGCAGCTAGCGTTTTGCTTCTTTTTCTTTTTTTAAAGTTAGTTTTTCTTTAGTTTTATTTGTTTTACAAAGTTTTGCTTTAAATTAGAATAATTTGATCCTTAGAAATGGTATTTTTATAGAATAAATCAAAATAGAAAAAAGAGTGAGTTATGATAAGGTTAAATTTGGTATTGTTTACAAAATTTTTATAAAAGAATAGATTTTGTTAAGTATTTATTAAGAAAATATTAATTAGTGGGGGTATTTATAATTTTGATGGGTGCATTAGTGCATATATAACTACTCAACCTAAAACCTAGCCAAGAAATCAGGCCTTCTACCAGTAGGTTAATAATTAAGGGCATGTTTAGTTCGTTGTGAGAGCTTTTTAATATGGTAAAAAAATTAGATATAATTGTTTTTGAGAGCTTTTTACTATAGAAAAATTTGAATTCTAAATTCAAATCGGTGAAATAAACGATACCTAACTTGT